CACTTTAAATTGACTCTTTGAATGTTTGTATGTATTTTCGTTGCCAATTAGTTGTTAACATACGTCAATAAATCGTTAGAAACTGCCGTGATTTTTTTCTACAACATTTCCAGTGGCACACTAGAATCGTAAACTATTTAATTGTTTGTAATACATAAACATATTCCGAATGAAAGAAAGACAGGAGCGAGAAAAAAAAACTGGTCATAACTTGTGTGTATTCTTACTATTCGGGGTGAAGAGGAAGAAAAAACTAAAAAAGAGATGAAACTGGTAGGTGTATCGTTTTCAATCGTTATCATTTTAAGTTTTGTTTTGATTTAATGCCGCCGTTTATTGCTCCGAAGTACATAACAATGATTTACATTTCACCATTTTAATGACATTTTACAATGTTGCACATACACACAATTGACAATCAATAAATGGCGCAAACATTCTCTGTGTAGAAAACTTCATCAACGTTCTCCTCGGCAAAGGGAAAAACGTTTGAAAAAAATTGTATTGGTTTTTTTTCTCTTTCGGTGATTTATGAAACTCATTACTTGAAATGCTAATTTGACAGACATAAGCTTTAACGTTAAATGCAGTTAAATCACAAGATAAATACATTTTCAACTCATTTACTTTCATCTGAATATTAAACGGTGATCGGTGTTTATTGTATGGATTTATCTAACAATTTTATCCCGTTTCCATTGGAATTAAAATTGAATTAATGACAATCGCCAAAGGCCTTTGAGGCCCTATTAAAAATCGAGCTCAATGCTGCTTTTTTCTCGTCTTTTTAAAAATTGAATGAGTACGGCCTGTGATTCAATCCCCATTACAAATGTATAACAAACACACAAAGACGGAAATCAACGTAGTGCATTCAATTTAGCGGCGCATACAAATGGGAAAATACCAAATAGTCTTTTCGAATCATTTCGATAAAATTCCATTCGAAGAAAGAAAGAAGAAAAAAATCCGATCCATAATTCCATTCAGAAGGGTAATGGTTGTTATTTGGTGCTATCGTTTTATAACAAAGCCTGTTCATATGTCAAATGCGGGATAGCGAGAGAGAGAGAGAGAGAGAGAGAGAGAGTTCGAACATGTAAAATATTTACTTATGCTTGAATAAGTCGATGTGCTTATTTAATCATTGCCGCCTACTCGTGTGCCTCGCTCAAGAGCAAAATGAATGGTGCACATCACATCTTAGCTTCACCGCAAGCATACTATTGGCATCAATTTCACATGTGGCAAAGAAGCGAGCGCACAAACCGCTTTCCAAATGCATTCGGCGGGCCGACTACTTCTTCTTATTATTTTGTGAAAATGTGTGTGTTTTTTTCTCTATGTTTACTCCGTGTGTTCCAGAATGAAAAATGTTCGATTTATGTGGCATGACACTACATTATGTGCGCCATTTAAACGATAATGAACTCTCCAATATGCGCAAAACCGTTAGCGCAATCCAAATTTTTCTATGAGCAAAAATTATGAGAAGACATGCAGAGCCCAAGACTTATAGCATTTTCTTAATTTGGAAAAAACGATATTTTCATTAGGCTTTGTGCAATTTGTGTGCCCATTAAGCAGAATCGCACACTTCAACGAATCTTCAATATTGTCAATTCTTGAATTAAAATACCGAACATTGCCATTCCCCCGCTTTTGTTTTTTTTTCTCTTTCTTTTCTGTAATGAAAAGCCGAAAGCATCGGTATTATGAAATTACATATCCATTTTCTAAGATGCAATTTTTTATGCAAATCAGTGAAATTTCTTCTTAATACACTTACTCCATAAACAAGAAGAACTGTGATCACTTCCGCCTCTCTCAGCAACGATCGAGAATGCCAAAATGCACTTTGAGCATCGAAAAACATTTGTTATGGTATTTGACGGATTTAAAACACTCCAATTCGATCGGTCTCGTCGCTGCCTCACTCGCACGTTGGTTGATTAAGGTAGATCAAGGTGCGTACCGTCTTTATATGGCATATGCGAGTGTTACTCTCTTTTTATTAATATCATGTTATTCACAAGTTTTACTTCTATTTTTCTTCTCCATTTTTATGTTTTCTTAAATATAATAAATGAGTGTATATGTTTTTCTTCTTGTAATGTATCGCAATTCAACACGACAGGAAGAGATGGAAGAAGAAAAGAGAAAAAAAAGAAACATGTGAACGAATCCATTCACTTCGTTCTAAATAATAATATTTTAGATTGTGTGTTTCGATGTTTTTGGACGCAGCGAGACACAAATCTATACAATATTCATTGTGTCGATTCGAAATCACTGATTCAGCCAGCAAAAACCGTATCCCCAAACTCTTCGTTTCCACGTGCATATTTTATAATACAAAGCAAACGGCAACAAATTGTGAAAGTCTCTCGCAAATATAGAGTCGCGCAAAAACTTCTAAATAACATGATATTACACGTGGAAGGAAAAAAAAATCACGCGCACACACACACATACACTGCAAAAATATATACTTTCGTTCCAATCATAAAATGAATAACAATGTTTTAGTTCTCGCCCATAAAAAATGCGGTTATTAAATATACGCATTATAATGTTGGAGCGAATTTCCATGCAAACAAAAAAACACCTCTATTGTCGTTACAATCGGAACTTGTTCCAACGGCTCGCTATCGATGTTTACAAGCGTTGCGCTTTTTTTTCTGTTACTCATTTACATTGTAAGATTCGCATCGATATATGTACCTGATTACGAAGTGTGTTTCTACATTACGAATGGCCCTTTTTTTCGTTCGCTCTCCAAATGCATAAATCAGTTATTGAACATTCACTGTGCTGCTTAAAGTGCACACAGAAAACCATGTCTTTAATTCAAAGCCGAAAATGAACCACTTAGAAAATCTGGAGTTTTTTTTCCTCAACGTCGCTTGATCACATAATGAAATAATCTCGTTAACCATTGCAATTGGTGTTTGTACAATCACTTTGGTTAGTACCAATACTATTTGCATGTGAAAAGTACCTTTCATACCATATTTCGAGCCAATTTTTCTCGGCGTTTCGTCGCAAATGGTACACAAAAAAAAAGATTGTTGCTCATGTTAATCATTTATTATATTTATCACGAAATATGAGTCAATTTATTAACGTTTAGATGAAATTGTTGCAATCGCGTGCCAATTTATTGATTGTGCACAGCACACTCTCCCATTGCGATGCTGTTCAATGAATATGTCGAATGAAGTGATAGCTAACAGGAATTACTTTATATATATTTATAAAACGGGGCTTTGACAACGGTAAACGTTGAGAGAAGTAAAGATGTTTCTTAATCCCTCCGATGAACCGATTAAGATAACAATTTAATTTTCAATAAATGCAAAAAAAGTGCCATTGAATGCAAAACATTGACGATGTTTGAATAATTTTTCCAACTTTGGATTTGTTTTGCTTGCTCTTCTGCATGTGTCAAATAGA